AAAAAAAAAAAAAAATTTTTTTAACCTTACACTGAGTATGTATAAATAGATTTTAACTAATTTGTTCATAGTTTCACTTTAACATAAAATGTACAAAAAAAAAAAAAAGAAAAAAAAAAAAAAAAAAAAAAAAAAAAAAAAAACAATTATGTTGATCAGTCACAAATTGTCTTGGGGCTACACACACACTTTCATTTTTATTTACACAATATATGTAATTACGTTTCATTTGAATTTTGTTTATATTTGATTCACAAAGATCTTATGTTTATTCACTGATTCACTATTAGCAGGCAAGGGAGGGAACTCATATAGATCAATGTAGTTTTGCTTTTAACACTACTTTTTCTAGTGTTGAGTAGTTATTAAAGCTCAATGCCATTTCAATTTGAGCATAAAGCATAAGCATAAAGAAATAGTATCCCAGGTAATTTATAATTCTAAAAAATTGTAAAATATATTTATTTATATATTACACTGGCTGCTCCGATGTGCCGTCGATACTGTAGGCAACATCAGCCGTGCGGCAACTGCAGCGCTAAGAGATTTTAGCAGCGCCGTAATGTGCTCAATTATTAATCAAAATATTTACATTCATATATATACGTATATATGTATATGTATGTGCCCTGCTTAAATCAATATAGATTGATAAAACAAACGTATATGCAATCAGTCAGAACTGATAATCTATATAAAGTTGGCAAACATTCAGGGTTATCTAGGTGTCTTCTGCTGGTTGGCTTTCGCAGAATTCTCTACTTTAAGGAATTTCTATAGAATTCGAGTCGGCTAAATACAGACGAAATCCACGAGCAAATTTTGATATTTGGTGTGAGGCTTATCATAAATTTGACTCGATGCTTAAATGGCCAAATGCGATTTGCAATGCAAATTTGTGGCTCTTTATGTATTTAATTAAAGAGCCATTCGGTTGATCTCTGTGCTGGCCCTCTGCTGCTCGGGTAGCTGCTTATTAACTTGTTTTTTGAAACAGCCTCATGAATATATGCAAATATGCAGTGCGTGAGCTCTGTTTTTATCAGCGCCCTGTTTGATAGCAGTGGATGCCTGTCCCATTTTCATACCATCCACTTAATACATTGATAATCCATATAATTTATTGCTAGTTCAAAGTGGTTCCTGGCCTCTGACTAATTGGCCGTATCGAAAAAAAATAAGTTTAAATATAAAGTCGCAGGTGAAGAAGAAAGCGAATCGAACAGCTAAAAAGAACACTTTAGATACATCTGAGTCGTCGGAGGGCAGCGCGAAAACCTGTTTGCCGTCGACCAGTGCTGGAAATGGGCAAGAAGAATTGTGTGTCAGTCGATTACTTGATGTTTTGTGGCGAGTGCTATAATTTATGCCAATGGCTACATTTTTGGCCGACACTCTGTCTGCGCGAGGCAGCGCGGCGACGCGTCGACGCCGTTCAGTCTGTCCCCTCGAGCGGCGTGAAGGCCGTTGTGGTCGCGGTCGCAGCTTCGCATTAGGCCAGCATTCGATAATAGTTAGCAATATATGTACATATGGATGTATGCATGTATGTATGTATATATGTATATTTTTGTTGTAAGCCATATACATATTTTAGCACTGGCTAATTGGTTGGCCTGGCTTGGTCGAGAGACCAATTGAAACACGTGTGTGTCGCCCGAACAATGCGGCGTATGCGCAATGTTCGCTTAATTACACGGCTTGTGCGTGCGTTTGTCAGTGTGTTTGTGTAACTGTGTGAATGTTGTTG